TGGATTTTTTAGAAATTTGTATGGAATTAGTGGAAGTCTTTTGTAAATTTATGAACTTTTATTTTAAAACTTTTAGAGACTTTTGTAGAATTCAAATTTTTTTGAAAACTTTCATTTGAAATAGAATTTATGTGGATCTAATACAATATTGTGAAATTATTACATACGAGGTGGTGATTCTCACAATTCTCATTTTCCCCCCATATAATAAAAAAAATATTTTAAAAATAATAAATTTTTTAAATTATAACTCTAATGTTTGTAGAAAGGAAAATGAAAGAGAAATATTGAGAAAAAAACATATTAATTTCTTCTTCTTCTTCTTCTGAAAATCTACCAAAATCTTGGGATTAATGCGAGACAAATTTTTGAGATTTTATTTAAATATTTTCTGCTTAAAAGTTAGTAGTATGTAGACTTTTATAAAAGTTTTTAAAAGTCATAAAAATTTAAAGAGTCGTGCTATGTACACATAGGGGTTCACATAATGTGAGTGGGGTGAGGCCCATGCTACAAGGTTCACATAATGTGAGTGGGGTGGGGTCCTTGTTACTGTAGCATGGGCCACACCCCACTCACATTATGTGAATCCCTATGTGTACATTAATCCAAATTTGAATACCCCAAGAGTTATAGAGATTTCTGAAAGTTTTAATTGAATACACTGTCTTTTAGAATTTCAATTGAATACACCAATACTTTTATATAGTCTCTAAAAGTTAACATTGAATACCCTTAAACTTTTTAAATCCCCAAAAGTCATTAAAAGTTTCAATTGAATACACCCTCATTCATGGTTTCTCTCGTATCTAAAATCAACTCGACTGAAAACGCGGATTTTTCATATTGGCGCATTGCAACAATTTAACAAGACATCGACATTAAAATCCATTTTCTGTATAGTCAATTTCAAGCAATATAAGAAATCATACAATCTTCTTCTTTTATCCAGCGATCAAATGATTTTTTGGGTTTTAATATATTTGATAAATAAAGTACAAATCATTAGCACTTTTTCATAAAGAATTGTTAGTTTTAATTGACATATCATCAAATTCGTTACATTGTTCAGTAGATGCTTACATGATTATATTTTCGTTGAAACTAAATCAAATGGTTACATTTTGGTCCATAGTAATAAAATTCAAATTATCGATGCAAATTATAATACACAATTCTCTCATACAAAACATATTTTGCAGCAGTCCTAGTATTCAAAAAATAAATAAAATAAACTCGTATCGATTCTCGATTCTAACTATTAGAATTGAGAACGAAATTAGAACAAGATGTTCGTAAATTTTAGAACAAAAAATCGTTTAAAACTTAAGCGAAACGGAATAATTTGTCCACCCCTAGTTAGAGCCCAAACAAAGTAACTTAATTGCCGTTAGAGTAAAAGATCGTCAATACAACAAAAATAACTAAAAATCTATGTAGATCGTCGCATATCTTATTTATGGTCTATTTGACATGACTTTTGAAAAGCTCGAAGAAATTTTTGAGACCCAAAAGCTGATTTTAGATTCGTTTGACTAATTTTATGAAATATTTCTTCTAGTTAGAACTTAGAAGAGCTTCTAGAGAAAATTGATTCAATATGACTTTTTCTAAAAGCACTTTCGAAATAAAAAAACTTTTTTAAAAATTAATTTTCAAACAAAAATAAAGATAGATTCCTCCCAACACTAAAACATAGGCAAAAACAAAACAAAGTCATACAAAATGAGCCCTTCATTGGGAAGATACTCACATTGTATATATTTTCAATTTTAGTTGAAATTAAGGATATAATAGTTATTTTAACGTAATTTTATTACGTCAGTAAGACCAATATCTTGTAAATGTAAAAGATGAAAATGAGGCAATTATACAAATTAGTTAGAATTTTCATTGGACTCGAAATTTTATCAACTTTTAAACATAAAGTTTCATTAATTTTTATCAAAATTTGCTAAGGTTAGACAGATTATTCAAATTTTCCATAATTTTAGTGATAAGTACAATTTGTGCACGTATTTGGATCAAATTACTGAACCTTTATGTCGTCAAATTATTGATTTTTACTTAATTTAGGTTTATTTTATTTTATTTTAGTTGTGTACTTGTTCGAAGCAATTAGAAAAAGAAAGAATGCCGACACTGAATGAAATCTACAACTTTGGGGATTAAAGTCTACACTATAGAAATTGAAGGAGTAAATTGCATTAATTCTACAGATGGGTTTGGACTAGCAATTCAATTGTCACTTGAAATTCTAATTAGACTAGAACTCAAAGGGGGAGATTATATATACACATTACACAGAGAAAGAAAAGGGAGGAACAGACAGAAAGAAAAAAAAAAAAGGACATGGCAGAAACTAGGAAAAAAAAGAGAAAGAAGAAAGAAAGAGAAAAGAAAGAAGAAAGAGAGAGAAAGAGAAAGAAATGGAGAAGAAAAGTCAAAGAAGAAAGGAAAAAGAAAACATGCGGAGAAAAAAAGAAGAGAGAAAAGG